TTACAACTTGTTAATTAACTTTTTTAATTAGGGGAAATAGACATATGGTTCCAATTAGAAAGTTGCTGAGCGTTATTGAAAACCACTAAATCAGTCATTTTCAGAAAGACTTTGAGCGCGTGAGACGAGTAGTAGCGCACTAAAGTTACCACTCGTGGAGCAGGCACAAGGCTAGCGGTTGCGGTAAGGCGCCCGTGCGATTTTTCCGCCTCTTACCTAGCCCCAGCCTTGTACCTGCTCCACGAGTGGTAAGTTTAGTGCGCTATTACTCTTCTCAAGCGCTTAAAGTCTTTCTGAAAATGACTGATTTAGTGGTTTTCGATAACGCTCAGCAACTTTCTAATTGGAATCATATGTCTAGTTCCACTAATTAAAAAGTTAATTAACAAGTTTTAATTAATTATCTGGCTAATTAGTAGGTTTTTGGCAATTCCTGACGTCCGCTGTGGCTGGTGGTTTGTTCCCGAAGAGAGTTTCTCCTTTTTTCAATCGCCCTAATTTTTAGGATTTTTGAAAGTCTTCGCAAAAACACCCGGTATATATTTTCTTTTAAAAGTTTTCGAGACACAACTCACCTCTTCTGCACAAGATTTGAAGTTAAATTGCACTTTTAAAAGATTAATGTAAACCACAAACACCACAAAAAAGCATCAGCATGTATGGACAACTGCACATGCGTGGTGCATAAGTCAATACTCTTGCAGGATGTACACATCGCGACACTGTTAGCGCGAACACGGCATCGGCGCATTTTCGCATTTTGCTTTTAAATAGTAATACCGAGCACCAAATTTTATTGTTTACACTATGGAACTAAATGAGCTCTTTCCGTAGCAATAATAAATTGCATGACATCCCTTGGTTTCAAACAGAAAAACTGAAAAAACCGACGATCGCTTGTTCGCGCTAACAGTGTCGCGCTCTGTACGTGCAAACAAAGTTTGCTTTCCACATATGCCTTACTTAATTGAGTCGCCAATCCAATGTGAGCAGCAATTTAGAGAGCTAAGTATCCAATCTATGCCGATCAGTGGATTGCAATGTGTGTGTAAAAAAAAAAAAAAAAAAACATAGCCAAGTTGCATTTAAACTAGTGTCAGTGAGTGAAATGTGTTGAGATTGCCTAGACGAGCCAGATAAGCTTTCATCCATTGGTGTCCAAAAATCCACGTCTGAAGTTCATTTTCGAAACAAATCGAAGGGTGTTAGTATTCAGAGCTTGCCACTTGCTAGAGGTTGGAACGGAGTTTTCACATGGCGTGAATTGGAAATACCGATTTTGAAGCAGTTCTGGGTTTTGGAGATCTTTAGTATTGTATTGCATCGATTCTCCTGCAACTGAAATTAAGTTACAGATTCAATTGTATAAACTCACACCAAAACCATTAGGCAACACTCCCCCACTCAAGCACTGCCCATTCACAAATCCAGTTACCTAGAGAATATTAATCTATGCTTTCCCATCTGCTGCCATGTGATCAGATGTCACCTGGCAGTAGGCCTGTCAATTTTGCCAGCTGCGCTAATATGGCATTCACTTCACATCCATTTTTTTTTTTCTTCTCAGCATATATCCGTGCGCAGTATGCAATGGCATCTGGAACTTCTAAAGCAAGCTCGCAGGATTTTTATGCTTGTTTTCAGCGATGTATAGGGTGCAACACAGTTAAGAGGAACAAGTGCTTAATAGTTGTTTTTTTGCTTGTTTTCCAACTAAAATTTAATATATGTAACCAAAACAACCAGTTTGGTGGAAATGGCTCGTCCTGTACACCAAAATGGATGGTAAAATTTAGTGTTTGTTAACACCCTGCCTGAAGAAAATGCGAAAAAGTGCAGGAGTCATGTTGATGTCAAGTGTGACAGATTTGTACCTGTCCAGGATGACTATAGCCTAGCAGAGTATGTCTTTTTGTCCAACACAATTTTTAATTAACGTAGACATCTCATTGATGACAAAACTAACAGAAATAACTCGACGGTTAAAATCTGCGTCCAAAGCACATTTTCGTTTGAAACATATTAGAACACTGCTTGGAAATTTAATTAAAAAGAACAAGTACTAAAAATTGAAACGAGGATCCCCAATCAAATGCCTGAATGCTGCTTTTTTTGAAGGACTAAAATTATCTCAAATAAATGCCGAAGGAAATAAGAAAAGCATCTTCGCGAGAATATATACCGTAAAATACCGGGGAAGCGCCCACCCTGCTTTCACTGAAAACTGGTTTAGTCTAGAAATGTGCATGTGTCCGGACAACTTGGGTCAGAATTCCCAAGTTTTGGAAATGTGAATAGTGGGTGTTTCCACACTATTTTCAGTCATATATGTATATATATATATATATATATATATATATATATATATATATATGTATGTATCTATAAAAACATAGCAGAGTTGCTTCTAAAGTGTTAGTGAATGAACTCTTATGCTCACATTCTGCAGGAGATGTTTTTGAAAGCAGTCGTTTCACGGCTAACTTTTGGCATGCATTACCAGTATTCAAAAAAAGAAAAATAACTGTGAGCTGTCAAAGTTTAAATGGCATTTTTGTACTAAAACAGATGGCCAATTTAAAAAGAACCATCTAAAGCCAACCAACTACAAAAAATCCTAAAAAGAGTAAAAAATCATTCGAAGTAATTAAAGTGCTATCCAACGATCTGAACAAATTGCCAACTTAAACCAGTTAGGCCAGATGCCAAAAGCAAGTTGCTCCTAATCGCCACTGTCTTTCCAAGTAAGCTACCGCTCCGCTAAAAGCCGTCTACAACTGCAGACACCAACACGCTCCCAAAGAAACATAGCAAAGACAAGTCATGCGTCCCATCCTGCCGGCAACCAATTTGGGGTGCCGGGACCTCCAATGAAACTCAATTGGACGAAGTGGCTTCCTGCCCGGGCCTCCTCTGCCATTGGCCACTGAGGCGGAAATTTTTCGTGATGATTTGGAACAGTCATTGCAGCAATGTGCACATGCATGTCGGTGTCAAAAGAGGCTGATGATGCTAAACCGTGCTTCCACCTAATAAACATAGCAGATATGGACATGCACAAAGAAAACTGAAGGAAGATAATCTATGGTTCAGTCACAGCCACGACTTTGAGGTCCCATAGTTTACTGAACTATTTGTTGTTCTGGAAACGGCACTCTATAAACACTTCATTGTTGACTACGCACAATGGAAAGTTTTGCTAGCTCTAATCTCTCGTCAATTTTGCGACACGCACATTAGCCATGGTATTCCATCTCAAGTTCCTTTTAAAATTATGCTTTCGTTATGCAAATGGTGACGACGATTTATTTTGAGTCTCACAAATACTGACATTGTGATCACTAAGTTCCTTCAGACTTAAATGGCCCATAGTTTGGACTAGTACATTCATTGAAAGATACCTCCTAATTTATATGCTATAGTACCATTTTTTGAGACGTTTTGTGTTTGTCCCCTTTTTCATCCGTCGTCTCCGTTTTTTTTTTTTTTCTTAAAAAATGTGTAACATCAACGAGCTCGCCTGTTTACTTACTCTTTCTTAGATCTCATCTGACATCTTATGTATATGTGATTCTGTGAAAAAGCAAATTGAACATTATTCCTATAATAAAATAATTTTTCCGAATACCAAGTGGTTTACCACGTGCCCCAAAAAAGCTTGAAGGCCCAAACAGCCCCATCCCACTGCAGCTCATTGGGTGGGCCACTTGGACAGGCGAAATTCATTAGGCAACTAATGATCGAAAGTCACTACCATATAAAACGCGGCCATGAAACTTTTATCAGTTGAATCTACACAAAGCCCCCACGGCGTCTCCCACGCTTGCGCTCTTATAATCGCCGAACCCTGTGCTACTACAAGTGTGGGCGAAAATGGCCGTCAGCCAAGATCGGCAGGCGTCGCCACCCGTCGATAGTGATTGGCTCATCGTCCACCGGTTATTTTTGATCGGCTACCGATCCACAACGGCCGCCGACGACGACGCTAGATGGCACACTACCCTGGAAGATTAAAAGTTTAAGATTAAAGTTTAATTATCCATACCAACTCGCTCGTCCTTACCCTGGAAGTTTATATCTCTTTATTTTTTTTCTCGCTTTCATATGCAAAACGAGTTTCTAATTTTATGCACAGCCTTTCCAAGAAAAGAGAAAAGCGGTTGTCCGTGAAGCAGACGACCTCCCGCGAAGCAGACGATCTCGTTTTTGCACAGCGTGCGTCCGTCCGGCTTGGGTCACACGCGAAGAGACCAGCGTCGCGCGGAGCAGACCGTCTATGAGACTCGCGAAGGCGCCCGCGTAAACGTTCCGGGTCCGGTGTATATATTATGGACCGCCTCCACCTCCGCTCTGATAAGAACAGCCGACAAAGAAAAAAAGACAAGAAACAACAAGCCATTCCGGCCGTCGTAGCGGCCGGATACGGCCCGAGCGCAAACGCGTTGCCGCGGTCGCTCGACGGAGTCCGTCGGAATTGTGCTTACGGGTTTCCGCTTCGCTTCCCCTGATAATGGAAGTCTCAAACGAACCGGGGAAGAGTTTCGCCAAATTTTCTTCTTTTTCGGCTCTTCTTGAAGACGGCACGGCAATTTCAAGTCCATTTTGGGGGCAGCGCCGCTCCGCCCCCACCGGAGTTTACGGGCTCGCGCGCAGCAATCAAAGTGCACACCAATTAAATTTTTTGTACCTCGTTAGTTTGATTCTAGCGAGGGCTTTTATATTTGCGTACTTCGATCGCTGTTCAGAAGAGAAAATATGAGAACTACAGCTTTACCTTCAACTATACGGATGCGCGAAATGTGGACCAAAAACCGTTTTTAAACGAGTTGAAAACCGCGCGCGGCCGTGACAAATCAATCATGACTTTTGTTGAATACGTCGGCCGTCGCGTCTCAAAAGGCGACGGGACGCGTCAAACGCTGGCATACAACAATTCGTTCAGCCGTGCCAAGACTCACAAACCGGACACTCCGCTATGTATGATCAACGGACGGACTCACCTTCATCAAACGTTCACCTCCAAGAAGCCGTCCCGCGTAGCATTTTCTCGGTTGCGAAGTCGATCACTCCTTCGGCAGCGTCGACAGAAGAATAGTACAGACTTTAAAAATCAAACAAGTAAACTTCCAGCGTCGAGATCCTCGAACGCGACGCTGGAGCTCCAGTGGTCCCCCGCGAGGAACGAACTGACGCACACTGTGTGTGTGTCACGCGAGCGATTCAAAACTTCTCCACTTCTCATTAACAAACTTCACACACGCTCCGCCCGCCCTCTTTCACAGAAAAAGTGAAAAAAGCTCTGGCGCGCGTTGCAAGGGTGAGAGAAAGAACAAAGAACAAACTTCAAATTATACAAAAAAAAAAAAAAAAAAAAAAAAACAGGAGGAAGTTACATTCCGCAGAAACGCCTTACTAACTTTTATTAGTATGTTAAAATTAAGTTTTATTTCGTTAAAATATATTTTATTAAGCTGATTGTTTTTTCATTAGCTTGTTATTTTATTAGTTGATTTAATATCAAACGGACATATACTGCGGAGCTGACCGTCCCCGTTTTGTTTTGACATGGCGAAGTGTGGGGTTTCGAATTGACACTTTTGGAGCTTTTGCGACTTTAAAACGGCGAAATCAGCATGGAGGTACGTACTTCCTGTCATTTACGTGAAAAGTTTAGGTATTGCCGTCTATTTACTTTGGCCTGTGTCTTTTTTACTGTCTGTCGTGGCCTCGCAGAGAGAAGAGAAGGCGCTCGACATAGCGCTGGACGCTATGATCAGCCGCACTCAAGACCTGAAAAACTCCATCGCGAGCTTCATAGTCAAGCTCGAGACAGAGTACGAGACCCTGCAGTGGTAAGGACATGCTACGCTTGGCTGGATCCGTCGTCTTTTTATACGATATTTATGCTATATGTAAGAAGCACTCGTCCAACCCCGCCAAGGGCCGGTGTTTCGCACAGCCGGGCTCCAGCGCTCGCCCGTTGCGTTCCGTCGTGCCTCGACTGCGCGTGCAGGCTCGAGCCTTGCGAGACGTCATAAGGTGAAATAGAGTATAGAGCAGACTTCGGACAGAAAAGTTCCAGATTCGTCTGCGACTATGGGGAAATCAAAACGCGGCTGCCGAAACGTGCCAGGATGCCGAGCCTATGGACCCTAGTTTCTTCTCATAGTATGGGGTCTACTTACTGCTATGACCCTATATTTAAGTGGACCTTTCACCGGACAAGGTCAGAACCAGCTCGCATTCGTAGGCTGCTGAGACCGGCAATCTTGATGATGTGGAACGAAACGCAGAAGGTTCAAGTAGCAAATAAGCGTGCGGTTTTCCTCACCCTGCTGAAGGAAGATACAGATTAGTTGTGTGAAGTGAATAAAAGGTTTGTTGCGTTTCTACTGCTTGAACATGCGGACAACGGGTATTGTGGACTGCTGAAGGTGAAGAGACGATGGAATGTATGCTTCTGAAATGCACGGCGTTTCGTCCAGTCCCCCCTAAGGGGGTAACGGGTATGGCGGAAACGCTGAGTTTTATGGGTGAGGATAGAAGAATGGAGGAGAAAAAAAAGATAACGATCACAAAGAAGAAGTTATACCCCTGCCACGTGGTAAAATCTAATGTCAGTTTCATAGACTGATGTTATCTGATCGGCCAATCGGCGCCAATCAGTGCATGTGCGACGTCTGTAGTCGGGATCACAAGCACATTTGCCAATCACCTAATGTCAGTCTATGAAACTGACGTTAAATTTTACCGTGTGACAGCAGTCTAAGATTGGCGGACAAAGTCCTAACGAAGCGTAACATCGCACCAAATTGGTGTTTTAGACCAAGGGTCTCCGAATCCCGGCCCACAGGCCAGAGGCCTTCCCACCGGTCTGTGGCTAGCCGCGGTCATTGCAGTGACGCCCGGCCTATGGCTATTTCCAGCATGCCCATTGATACCGGCATAAAAATAAGAGCGTACGAAGAAACGGCGCTGCGACGCTCATCAAAATTCTTTTGATCCGTTCTGACTTTTTATCCCGCTCATAGTTTCGTCACGTTTCTTGCACATTGTCATCACTGGCATCTCAATTCTTAGTCCCCTGCTTTATGTCTGCATAATTATCTTGAAATTATTTTGCATTTTCCTGGGTTATAAGTTTTGCGTATTGCTATAATCATTCCTCCCATTTCAATTAGTTTTCTGCTGTTTGCAAATATGCCGACGACCGTAAATGCCTTGATTTATGCCAGGCGAGGTTTCTGGGCTACAGCTTATTATATGTCATAATTAGCTAAATATTAAATTATACTATACATTGGACTATATAACTCACAAGTCATGTTTTTCACACATAAATTTTCTCTTATTACACCTTTTCTTTTTAAATTTTTGTATTAAAAAGCTTTTGTCTATTTTATTATTATTTTTTTAGTTACTTTTTTTTATTTTCTGGCCCTCGAGGTTGCGACAGACACCTAGTTTGACCCCTCAGCCATAAAGTTTGGAGATCCCTGGGTTAGACGATGAAGTGAGATACGGAACTTGGAGCAAAATTTGAAGGGGAGGAATGTAAATGTTTCTGGGGCAGTTTGATGCCTTAGCTCCATGTTCCAGAAAAGCAAGCCAAGCCACCGAATGAACGAAGAAAACATATTTTTGTTGTCGTTTCGTGGTAAGTCATCCATCAGTCATCTTGGGTAAGTCTTTATTTTGAACTCTTTTTGTTCACGTTTCGCTCATCGAAAAGCAAAGCAAAAGAGCCAAAACACGCACTTTGTCTCGGCACTCTGCCGTCTCTTTCCGCACGATGAAGTCCGTCTGCTGTGGTTACCGAGTGTTGATAAACACACACATATGCAGCTTCCAAGTTCAGCTACAGCCACACCATTTTCTTAATGCCAACGCAGCGAGGCTGGCTTGGGCTCTGAGCTAGGCTTTTATACAAACTGCACTATGCGCAGCCATTACTCTGTTCAATCTGCTCGGGGAAAATTTATGGTAATATGAGGCACAATCATGCACCAACCTGTTCGGAACCCCCGCAGGTTCTCCAGGCGACCACTGTTTACTGTCAGCAATTCCCTCCACAACAGTATGTACCACTTTGGCTAGAATTGCTGCGTTCACTTTGGCAGATGGCATTTGGACGATGGCATCTGCCGTTTCCGGCTTCAAACGCCGTGTTCATGCATCCCTTTGTAAAGAAGACTCCTTGTTGCCACGGTGGCACTGATCATTGCAGACGACCTTTGTTGTGTGGAAGAAGACAGCGGGGTGGTGAGATCGGGTGCATACTTGGGCTCTTTCGCCTTGCTTTTTTAATGGGTGGAACTTGAACAAAAGGAGTTTGAAATTAGGACTTAACGCAGACGCAGTCGATTTTCTTCGGCGCCTAACGTTTTGATGAGCCTCACACAAGAAGTATGGTTTTAGTTCGCAATTTGGACGAAGTTCGTTATACTACAACACGTTGCTAAACTACTGACGTGCCATTTCTAGGTTAAGTGGCGCAAGCGACCGTCCGATGCAAAAAGTGTGGCGACCGCCGTCCATCCGTCCATAAAGCGAGGAAGTTGTTTTCCCCCGCATGACCTCGACCCTTTGCAGGCCCTCCGTGCTGGACAGCTTTGCCCTCCTGTCGGGCCAGCTGAACACCCTCCTGAAGGTGCTGAGGAACGACAAGACGCCGCCGCTTCGGAATCGCATCCTCCTGCCGCTGCTCCTCAACCCGGAGAGGGACGAGGAGCTTGCGGTGAGCGCGCAACAGGCTCTTCCTTGTCTGGGGATGGAGCGCGCCAAACTCTGGCGGTTCGGCCCTTTCGTTGCGTTACCTGCCCAGACGTCTGCCTGGGACGGCAAAGGGGTTCTAAAATGGCATTATAAGATAGAAGAATGACAGGAAAGTCCTTCTTTTGTCCTACTTCTGGCACGAGCTTGCTGCCTTCAATAATGCTTGGGTACCACGTGCAACCAAAGCACGGCGCTACATGGCGAGCACGCGCCGGAGGCCAGACATTGGAGAACGATGCCCTGTCGTTCTCACCCTATTAGTGACGGATTGCACCCGTTACGGAGCCCAAAATACAGAAAGATGGAATGCAGACCTCAGGTGAACGCTCGTTCACAACCACGAGTTGTGACCAAGTGCTCGCGACTTCCAGTTGTGAACGAGCGCTTTTTTGTTGTTTACACTTTTTTAGTCCCCGTCTTTTGTGCCCTTTTTAAATTACGAATATCCGAAATTAAGGTAAATTATTGAGTGGCCCACGTGCAACCTAGGTGCGCTTTAGTTGATTGTTACTTCTGTGTGTTCTGCCGTGCCATATTGCGTCATGTTATGCTATTACGCAGGCATTTACGACCACCATTATGGTCATCGTCGACACTTCATCCATGAGCCTTGTGTTTCTGTTGTCGCCACCTAGCGTTTTTTTTTTTGTGTGGGCAACTACTTTGTCAGTGTCACCTGTACTTGCAAGCTGAACTGTAAAGGTTACTTTTAAATGATAATTAAAGGGGCCCTGCAAGGACCTTTTTACTGTTTTTTAATTTGCACCGCACCTGAGCGTACTGAACGTAGTAACTTAGTGAAACTTTTCTTTTCGCGAAATTCGCTTTATTTTAAAAGTTGTGGCAATTTAGAATTACAAAAACAAGCAAAAAATAACCTCCTTCATGACGTCGTAGGTCCTGGCTTGAGTGGCCGTGAACCAGAGGAAGAGTCGTGAGCTCATCGAGCGCTCACGGCCGCCGCACTCCGTGTCGACGGCGCCAGAGGGCGCCACTAAACCATGTTTTGGATAGGCTGTATGCAGCGGGCAGCCAAAGCGGCTTTCATTGCGTTTGCTGCGCGATTAAACAGTAATTCGGCATGACACTTCATTAGCCACAAACGACAGCAAACACGGGGTAAAGATCAGTTCAGAATGGGAGCCACTTCGCGCTGCCATACCGCATAACGGCCAAACCGCAAGACAGAGCCTCTCGCCGAAGGCCTGTGAACGTTGATTTCGTCACTATTCTTGCCCTGGACTAGCACCGCAATCACAAAGTCACTAAACGCTTGTGCTTGATTGAGAAACACTGCATTCAGTACAGAACATAGTTTTCTTCCTGCTCTGGACACGTCTTAGGATGAGCAAAATGAGTCGTGACAATAAATTTGAGGGATGTATTTTTGCCCACAAAATTGTATTTAATTACAATTGTATTTAAAATACCCACGCTTTAGTATTTAAATACACACGTCAAATACATTACCCAATTTGTAATTAAACACAAATGCAAAATACACAAAGTATTTGAAATACTGCCCATCCCTGGAGACAGCTATGTCGAGAATGTAGAAGAGAAACCTTCTTGTACCCTTGGAATGAGAAGCGTGCTGGTAAGGGTAATATAAACAAAGGGGAGAACATAAAAGACAAGGATGGACAAGACACTTTTGCATTATCGGAAAGGATGCTAACAGCTGACCTTGGCGGTCGACACCTCCCATTCCTTTGTTGTACTGTTGTACAACTTGAGCCTTCAGCCCTGGCTCGTTTCCCTTGTGCCATCTCTTTCCAGTGTCCATAATGTCAGCTGCACTGTAGCACGCTTTTTATCCTGCCGTTGAATAGCCATGATGCCATGTGAGAACAAAGTCTTGCACTCCTCCATGGCCTACTTCAAGTCCTTTTAATGCTTTTGGCATATTATTCCTGTTAGTCCCATCTGTTTGCATGTCAACTGATCCATTCTTCTTGACAGCTATGAGGAGGTGTAGTGAGGAATACCAGTCATCTAAATAAATGGTATGTCCATCACCAAGATGCTCTCCGAGAACGTCGATGACGATAGCTTCACTGCACGGCATTGAAAAGGTTGCATCTGACTTTGTGTCTTTGCCTGCGTGTATGGAAAGGTTCATGCAGTATCCGCTAGAGGATTCACGGAGCTTATAAAATTTGATGCCGAAACGAGGTTGCTTTAAAGGATTGAATTGCAGATAAGCCAGGCGTCCACAGAACCTCATCAACCTCTCGTTCACTGCGACGTTTTCGTGTGCAGGATAGGAACTTGCAGATGTTCTTGGAATGTGATCAATTACCAGCAGTCTTGCACGCGTTACTGAAAAAAAGTAACCAATATCTAACTGTTCCCAGTAGTATAGTCCCATCAAGACCACCTATGTCCACTTCTAAACCCCGCTGTTTCAAAGCAGCAAGAATGCGTGGGACCGTTGCCTCTAGATGATTATGTTAACTCTATGCCGCAAGCAAGGATGGGAGGTCGTACGACTCGCCTTTTATCCGACGACACTCGCAGAAGTTGACGGAGAATCGCATCCAGTTCTTCAACCACGAGGTGGTGCCGGACTACCTCCGCACCAAGCCAGACCCGGAAATAGAGGCGGCCGAGCTGCAGGTCACCTCCAAGGCCAGCCTCCTGTCCTTGGATACTGCCCAGGTACGTCGCTCACACGGCACGCGCCAGGTCTTCAGACCGGAGATGTCGGATCAAATGACCAATGTGGTAGGGATGGTCACGTGACCTCGAAAAGGAATCTCCCTTATGTCTGTCAGCCAGTGTTCCGCTACAAAATTTTTTTTTTTCATTCGGGGCTAAAACAGAAACGTTTTAGGTTTTGGCAAAACTTTGGCTGACGTTTTAAAGGGGCACTAAAGTGGTTTATGAGATTGCCTATATATGGTCATTACTCAATCTATGACCTCTCAGAATTCTAAATAATTCTGGATTAAATTAATATGCCTCCAATTTCCCCGTTAAAGAAATGAAAGCCGTTTACAACTCCCTGTAACACCGAATTAGAGCGCAGCTCTTGAGGAGGAGGGAAGAGTACTGAGGGGGAGGTATACCCCTCCTCGTTACCTCGTGATCCTGCCTGCTACTACTCCTCCTCTCCTCCCTCCTGCCCCCTCCCCCTCCACCCCCTCCTTCCCGGGGTCACGTGACCTCGGAGGGGGGGGGGGGGGGGGTCACGTGACCTCACGGTTACGCCGACACCGCTCAAGCCAGAAACGGGCGCCTAAGAGCTGCGATCTAAAACAAGGTTAAAGGTTATGACATTCCAGTTTTTCTGCTATTCAGTGTGGAAACCAGAGGGTGCCATCGGCCGTGCGACAGCCAATCGCGAGCGATTGCTTTTCTCGCTGTTGGTCGGGCCCCCTTGCCGTGCAGGAAGCGATCGCTCACGATTGGCTGTCGCACGTCCATTGGCGCCTGTTTTTGTGCCGAAATATATTAAAAAAAAACAGGTCGCAATTTTTTTATTTTGTTTTTAATAGGGAAACCAAATGCATATCAATCTAATCTCCAATTTCTTAGAATGTTTAGAGACTAAATCACGCTGAGGGGAGCTGCAGCAAAACATTGACAGTCATCAGTATTTATACATTTTTCATCATGCACTACATATCCACCCCTAAGTACGTCTACAAAATATCTCATCAAAACATTAAGTTTCTTACGAGAAAACAAATTTTGAATTTTACGCATGCACCCCCAAGTGACTTTCCGCCGCTACGCCGGCGACAACGAGCAGCGGCAGCACCGACGTCGGATGTTTTAAAAGTCCGAAGTCTGTGATGTAAACGTTCCCTCCTCCACTGCATGGTGCATTGCAGTGATAGTGAGCGTCTGGGGATTGACTGCACAACAAAGAAACACAGCAGAGCGACATCCCATTGGTTTCCGCAAAGAAACACAGCAGAGCGACATCCCATTGGTTTCCGACCAAGAAGTCTTTGCGACGGAAGTGAGTCCAAGCAGTTCGACGAGCCGCTTTATTGCCCCTTTAAGACTTGGCCGTGAAAAAGCTAAGTGCCTTGGTGTAATGTTGGTTGTCGGCCTGAGGCCTTCAGGATCCTTCTTTTCAACTTAAACACATGCAACAGTGCAGGCAACCAATTTGTTACTTCAAGGTCTATAGTGTATGCGTCATATGATGAACAAGGTCCACGATGCATCGTCATTGTTACTTTCACCCGTCGTAAGACACGTTTCGCGAGTGACAAATGCGTCCGATGCCGATTCCACTTGCAGAAGCAGATCGCAGCACTGAACAAGGCAGCCAACACCATTCTGGACGGGGTCAAGAACCTTCAGGAGAACTGGGAGAGCAACTCAGGTTTGTGGACAAAGAGGTCTTGGGTTTGGCAGAAGGAGTGACAACTGGGTCAGCTGGTACTGATTCATAAGAGAAAACAGAGCGCTCACTCTCAACTGAAGGTTTCTTTTCACAAACCGCGAACCATAAACATCATGCCTTTTGTCAGGTCGTCACACTTCGGGTTTTGGGAGAGGACGTCGAACGATGTCGCCCGTTTTGTCTCGAGTCGCCTCGTCCTGGACCACGACACTAAAGCATTTCGGTTGTGGAGCTTGCCATACACGCGGCACAACTGAGAGCGCTTAATACCGTGTCCGAGCTTTTGTGGCATTTTATTGTTGCATCGTGCGCGAGTGATGGTGCAATACAAGCGTCTGTCAATGGCGGTAAAAAGCGACTGACAGGACTAAAAAAACGAACAAAATAAATATGCAGTCATTTCAGCTTTTATGTTGTCATTTTTTTCTCGTGGCATCCCGGACCAAGCTGAGAGAGAGTCATGACGCTCAATTAAGACAGGACGTAAAAGTATTCGCTTTAAAAGGCGAGGTGCGCTGCAAAACTTAAACACTTGCTTTTCGAGGTGCAATGATGGGAGCATACCTAGACAAACTTGACGCGAGCCAAACGCCTGATTGCCTCCTGCCAAATGGCTCGCAAATTCTTATTGTGTAGGTGTCTTCTCGGGTATTTAAACCATGGTCTGAATCATGACGGTTGCATGAATCATGACGGTTGCGTAAAAGCAGCGGGGCCGCTTTTACGGGACTTTACATCTTTATTGAGCATCAACATGCGCAAAGAAAGAAATCAAGCCAAATCGACCAAAATTGTTGATATGGGATGCTAGGCTTGGGCCAGTCCCGCTGCGCAAACAAGCATCCGCACAGCGCTTCCGAAGGCGCATACTTGCCGCAGTTGTTTGCTGCAAACTACGTCAGTTGATGGGATCTTCCTCTAAACACCTCCGTAAACTCAAAACAACCCGTGCTTACAAAAATTAACGAGCTCAACGAGCTGAGCTCGTTGAGCAGTCTGCAGATGACGGCAGCCATGTTTGTTAACGTTTCAAATAGAAGCGCGGGAAGCAATCTCGGGATACATTTCAAAGCAGTAATGACTCCATCTTGATTAGTTGCTTCTTAGACATAAAAAAAATAATAGATTAAAATATTAATACGCCACGGAAATACAAATTTACAACCAACCTTTCACGCATCAATCATCTCACCAGCCAATGAGAGATGTAAGCACGGGGCGGGGTTTAGTAGGCTGTGACCTCCACATTCTTCGCCTACATTGCATCTATACTCCGCGACAGCTTTTCTTGGCAATGCAGTGGAAGGTAGAGGCCCGCGTCCCCTCTCCCATTTTGAGTGTACGCAGGCTCTCCTCCTCCCCCATTTCAGGGGGAGAGGAGGAGAGCCCGCGCACACTCATCGACGTGCATCACATTAATATTGCTAAAAAAAAAAATTTATTTTTCGTGCTATAAGATGTTTTTTTTACAGCTGTTAAGGGCTAGCTTCCCCAGGATCGTGTCCGGTACCAAACAAATGTCAACACCCGTGGCCGACACAATACTCTTGTTGTCGCTGTCGCTCATAGATGGCGGCGTCTGTCCAGAGTGCTGTGTTTGCCGGTTGTCTGCTTGCCACCATTGCTCATTGATTGCAGCAACATTTCTTCGGTGGAAGAAGAGCAAGAACGGAATGAGCGGTGATGTGCGCAGCAGCGCGAATGGTTTTGCAATTGCCGTGAGGTTGCTATCGCTTCAAGTTCCACTTCGTCGAGCGCTTCAGATTCTCTTGCGAAAGCAGAGCATGTCGCTCGCCTGGAAAGCCACCGCCGAGAACAGAGGCTACAGCTCCACTGCTCTTCATTCTTCACCAGAGTGGAAAGGCTGAAAGCTTTTTTGTTAATATATGTGTCCCTCGAGACCAGGCGTGGCCAAACCGCAGCTCTTTACTGGTCCAAGTGTGGCTCGCGGATCCCTCGTAAGGGGACCCCCCCCCCCCCCCCCCCCTTCTCCTCACCTCTTGCTCGCGGTTTGGCAGCCTTGTACCCCCATACATACAGTCGTACAGCCTGTGCCCCCATACGTACAGTCAGACTCTGAACAAAATTTAAGTTTCCCTTCCCCCCCTCCACGGCTCTTAGAAGTTTCGTGATTTCGTTTGCGGCTTTTAGGGCAGGTCAGCCTGGCCACCCCTGCTCTAGACGAAAACATTATTTTTTCATTGCAGTGTCCCTTTAATCACACACATTCAACTGCTTATGACTGAGTGTCTTACAATCTCTTGTGATCTCTTACAATGAGAACACACTGGGACCATCCGTAGGTTAATTGTAAAACACGTGTCATTTCAGTATGTTTCCTATTTTGGTCGCGCATCTTTTTTCGCTCGGAAAATCTCTTGACAATGTTAGAAACGACCATTTCTCGTAGATAGTGGTACATTTCATCTGGAAAACACTGCATAGCGTTCACTCTAGAGGAGTGCAGTTCCAGGGACGCCTCATAGATGGCGTCGGCCAGTGGGTTTTCTCGTCGTAAGAAATAGCGAGAACCGGTTGTAAGGAAAGACGAGTGTGTGAATGGGCCTTTACGGTGAAAGAACGATGTTCGAAAAATGAGGAAATACCGTATTTACCCGAAAAGAGGTTGACCACAAAAATAGGTCGATTCCTACTGATTAAACCCACCGACCAGAAAAATAAATAATTTGAATATAAGTCGACCCACATTTTTAAAAGGACGACAGACAATTTTAACGAAACACACCTTTATTAATTGCATGCGTCGCTAGGCCTGACTACTCGCTGCCACAATCTCCATCATCGTCCGAACTTCCAGACAAGTCATAGTCGTCGGACGTTTCGCAGGCGTCCTCAGCACCCCAGATGACATCGTCTTCGGTGCCGTCGAGTGCATTCGATATGCAACATTTTTTGAAAGCGGTCTGAACGATGGTCGCTGGCAGTTCCTCCCACACGTCTTTGACCCAAGATGCGACTTCGCTACACGAAGCCTTCTTCCGGCGCCCCGTTGGAGTCATGGTAGCGTCGTCCCTTGCCAGCCACTCTTTGCAGAGGACTGTGACGCGGTCCTTGAATGGCTTGTTTACGGCGACGTCCAAGGGTTGAAGTCATACTGCCTTCTTCACCCCTGGGCAAATGTGGCCCCTAAACGAGTCCAGGACCAGCATCTTGGGGAAATTCAGGTCTACTCCCGGGGCGCTTCATCCATACAATTTGAACCACTCTCTAACCATCTCTTCATTCATAAAACCCTTCTCGTTTGCCCGGATGATTATCTTCTCTGGGAAGACTTCTTTTGGGATTGTCTTTCAGTGGAACACGATATAGGGCGGAAGCTTCCGTCCGTCGGCTGTGCAGCAGAGTATCAAAAGTAAATCAGGTATGCTCGGGTCTTGTTGTCAACAAGCGGACATCCTTGGTTCTTTTTGTTGTCACCGTGGTGCGGCTTGGCATTTCAAAGTATACTGAGGTCTGGTCGGCATTCCCAAGCTGGCCAAGAAGGTAGTCTTTCTCATGTCTCAGCTTGATAACGTACCGCTGGAATTCCACCAGTTGCTCCTCAGAGTTGGCCGACGAAGAGAGAGTCCATTGCGTCGCATAAACTTCCGCACCCACCCCCTACTCGCTTTAAATGTCGATCGGCTGATCCCATCTCGTTGGTCCAACTCTCAAGCTTTGGTCTGAATATCCTTGCAAGACACCTGAGCCCTTTAGTGCACTTGTCTTCCACGTGAAGCCTCAGTTCTTTTTCGAGGGCATCATGCCTTCCGGTTGTTGGGCCACGAAACGCACGACGCTGCCCAGAACAGGCAAAAAGATTGTCTTATTGTTTCTGCCAGCCTCTGATGAGCTTTTCATTCACATTTTAATTTCGTTGAGCGGCGCAGTTGTTGGAGCTCTGAGCGAAGTGGATAACTCGCCGCTTGAAATCAGCGGTGCAGCTCGTCCGCTTGGTCATCGTTGGAAGCAACGTGCAACGATACAGGAGCGGAGAACGACACGGACAGAGACACAATTGCAATATGGCGGCAGCGGACAAAAGAAGTTTTGCAAAACGTAACGAAACGACGCTCACACAGCCACGAGGTAATTTCGTACTTTGCTTCTGCTCTTTTCTGCAACGTGGCGCCACTGTACGTCCCAGTGCCACTCGCTTCATGTGCTCCGCTCTGCCGCAGACGGGTAATCGGGTTTAGCGGCAAGAGACTTCTAATGCTTGCTTCTTGCCGTAATTTTATTCTTTTATTTTTGCTTTTCTGTGTCTAGACCCTCGGTACGAAGAGAATGCGCCTCAAATATGTGTTTACAGACATACAGAGCAGCCGGCAGAGTGGCGGGCGCGAGGGAGGAACTCCGTTCGCTTGATCGGCTTGCTTTTTTTACGATTATAGGTCGAGATTTTTTAGTCGCGAATATAAGTGGACCCTTCATTTTGGAAGATATTTCTGGTAAAAAAAGGTTGACCTATTTTCGAATAAATACGGTATGCTCGAACTGGAAGCGTGTCAGGGCTAGCTGATGGGTGACACCACAAAGTGTGCTGCCAAAGAAAACGAAATCAAATAGACATTTCGGTGAATTTTTTAGTGGCATCTCGAGCGGTTTGGGGACGCCGATGCCAAATGGCTCCCGTGGTGCACGGGGAGGTAAAGGTGCATGCCGAATGTGGCAAATGGTGAGCGCCGACGTCGGTGGTCCCGAGAGAAAGGAGGCGAAAGAGAGCGACAAAAAAAAGGCAAGAGAAAGTGGACGAAAAGTTTGGCGCGTTCATCGTACTGCGACGAGCTGGGGTGTTTGGGCGCTCATCAACTTAATTTACTTTCATGCAATGTGCGACACCGGTGCTTTTGTGCGAAATGAAGCTAGAACACAACCATGTGCAGACCTTGGCAGTGGTGTTTTAACTTTTCCTTGCGCGTACCAAAGCGTCGCCAGCAATATAAGCCCACAGGGACTGCTGACGTCCACGTCCGTGCCCTCTACACCATTACATCAGCTCTGCTTGTGCTGCAGGTCAGCGGGGCACCATAGCGCAGACGTCGTCCCTGCAGGACACCAATGCGCTGATTGCAGCGCTGAGCGTGGGGAAGGGCCTGCGACCTTCTCTCGGCTCGCCCAAGAGCCAGTCCCCGCTGCCGCAGGTGTCCGGGCAACAGCGGGGAGGCAAGGCCTTCGCCAGTAAGACGTTCCTCCTCTACCCGTACTGCGCCTCGCAAACGCCTCTCCGACCGATCCGTTCGGTGTCCCGTTTCTCCCGCGCGTCGAAAGTAGTCCCCGAGCGGCAACAAACGACGCCGCATACGCCGGAGTGTCACGCCGTCAAGTGTCGCCATCTTGACGGTTGGACGTATGAGTTCTGGAAGAAGGCGAGAAAGGACATGAGTGTCGAGGCGTCCCAACTCCCGGTTGCCGAGGCTTCTGGGGACTGGTCGGGCTGGAGATCTACCCGCAGATGAACGGGCGTCTGCTTCCGCGACACCGCCACAATGGCGGCCGGCAATGATGCGACACCTTTCTGACGTCGTAGGGCGGAAATCGAGGGACCACTTTTGACGACGCAGGAAACGCGCCGGTCAGAGACGCGTTGCGGGTGTTATAGTAGTAGCGTTCTTCGCAATGTTGGGACTACGAGAGAGGCTCCACCGTAAATATGGTACCGTATTTTCTGGACTGTTCACGACTCCAGTGAACTATAGCTAGTCAGGCAAAATGGCAGACGAACCGAGGTCGTTTTCGTCGTTCAGCATGCGGACCGCCATCAATTTCTTGCACTGCAGCGTAAAATCGGTGTTACATATGAGAGCAAAGCGATTTTTTGGCGATAGTGTCATTCCTAAAGTGCGTAGAAATGACACGGCAGAAGCATAAAAATAATTACTGGAGACAATGTTTGTTTCTATGCTGCCTACGAGAATGAAGCAGCGATTGCAGACAAGAGTCGAAATGACGTCTTATCCCGAGCTTCTCAGTGTTGCCGCTATGCGGCTTCGGTTTCGCTGCAGTCGCCAATATTCTACGAAGTGTACTTACTTAAGAGTTGCAATTTTTCGCCATGCGGACTATCTGTAGGGTGTGGACTATACGAGGACTTGTTTTAATGTGAAAGCATTAACTGGTCCCGTGGAGCGAAGCCGGCGTTATCTGATGTTTGTAGCAGCGAAAAACGGCACCTAAATACCCATTGGCTGCGCTAAATGGCACCTAAATTCCCATTGGCTGAGCAAAACGGCACGTCAAACATACTCCTCCTAATTTGTCCGGCAGTGCCTTCTCTGGAGCACAATAAGCGCTTCTTTACTCCAGTAAAAGTTAATGCGGATTTGTCTGGACGGGGGCAAGCCAGTGCTGGTGGGCATCTCTGCTGTAGACGACGGCCAGTACTGTACAGTGTAGACCACTTACAACGTAACCGCTTATAGTGTGGGACCGGGTATAACGCGGTTTTTTTAAACCACCGGTTCGCCTCCCATAGAACTCCATGTAATTACATACCGCTTAAAATGCAGGCGCGCGAAGGGAAATACCGGTTATAGTGCGGTTTCTAGAACAGCCCGCCGACCGCGCCGGCGACCGGAGCAGCGAGCACGCTTCCCTGTGTAACACTAGATAACGGCGCTGACGGCGCGAGCCAGCGCGAGCCGCAAGCGGCACTCGCGGGGCAAGGAGGTTGCTCGAAGAAGCGGGAAGAAGCAAAGAGAGAGGCTTCAGTTGCCATAGCGACGGAGGGACGCACGCATGTGTCGTTCACGTGCGTGCATCCCTCCGCTGCGTTGGAAAACAACCGCAACGACAGACCAAAAGCAAACAAGCAAAATTTAAATGAACCAATCGCAGGTCGAGGAGACCAATCGCAAGTCGAGGAGAAGTGTTCGCGCGCGTTGCATGCCGGTCGCAGGCCGGCTGCTTCTATCCGCAAACATGGCGTCGGTTGTGGTCGTCGTAGAGGGCGTGGTGGAAGCTCATCATTCCGCGTAAAAGCGCTATCCTTGACTGTGAATTTTCGTTGTGTGTCGCTATGATAACCCAGCACGTATTAGAAAGGAAGATCCACCTACTCGTGCGGCGATGTCATGGCGGTGCTTTCAAGACGGCAGAAACGCCCGTGTCGTCGTGTTTGTTTACTTCGACTACAGTGGTGATTTCTAAGCATTTGTGTCCTCGAACATCGCCCGGATTTCTTATTTGGCGCATTTCATGCGTGTGCTCAAGTTGAAGGTATTACTGGCGCGTACCGTGTGAAGGATGCGAATTTTCACGCGTTTTCATTTCCGGAGAAAAGTGACTAGGGTTAGCAATCCTGAACGCTCGCAACGTCCGTCCGCAACCCGCGATGCCGTTAAAAGGCTGCGCCAGGCAAAAGCCGCTCATTTCTTTCAAAATGTATGACACACTTGAGACAGAACTGTACTTGTCTGGTGAAATAAAGACTTTCCTCAAACTAAGCTTTATTTTTCATCTAGCATAAAATAAATTCTTTTACAAAGGTAAGTTGTCTCAAGGCATGTGTTTCGGCCTGAAAAACTGATGTTTTGGTTGTAGCGCGGTACCGCTTATAGTGCGGATTTTCGCGACTCCCGCGACATACGTTATATGCGGTCTACACTGTACCACTGCCTGCCTGGTGTCTTCGACGTGCATCACGCAGCATCGAACCGGCGTGCAGTAGTGGCTGTGCACGTTGGTGCGACACTTGTCCAGATCGGGCAGGGATGACCTGGGACCCGCGGGTTCCGTAGCACGAGCTTTCGCTTCCCGGGCTTTCTAGCTGCGGTGCGCAAACACGGTTGACCACCTTAACGTTTCATGATGCTCGCATCTTATCCCAACCATTAGCACTACATTCTGGCATAGATTTCAACGATGCAGAGTCCATTTTTGTCATCTCCCGTAACATCACCATTGTCGTCCGATGTCTCTGGTGCGGAAACTCCGCCGTTTTCAACCCCGGTAAATATTTTCGCCCCGGATGTCGCCGATCGCGGCAGTGGGCAAATTTTTCAAAGTACCGGCTAATTCTCAAAGCCAAAACTTGTCAATTCGTTTCTTACTTTCTGCGTCAGTGCATTTCTCCTACTTGAACTGCCTAAGGGTCTGCAGTGTCGTTAGATAAACCGATAAAATAGAAATGTACTTGTAGCCGTTTAAATGCATATGGCTCGAGAATTCAGACAGAATGGGTAGAAGGTATTTCGACAGTAATAGGTTGCTGCGACAGGTGACACCGCCAGTCATCCGTTCTCGCTCTTGGTATTTGCTCGCTCCGATTGTTAAGCCTCGTCTCCTTCGTGGGCTTTAGCCGCGGCCTCGGACGCATTTTTGACTATACTGGCATAGGTACCAGCTACTGAACTCGTGTCTCAAAGCGTCGGAAAAGCCGAAAGACCTTTTTCAACAGCCGGCGAGATTTTGAGGCAAGTACGGATATTTCCCCATGCTCGGTGTTGACATTTTTACGCTATGTCGTTAAAGCTAGCATCGCTTGCGGAGCGCTCTAATGCCGTCAAGGCCGGTCGTGCGAGTGCGGGACCTCATTTGGTGTCGCCTCTGCACGCGAGCATGCAAGAATGGGACGCGAGACGTAGGCATGGGGCAGCATCGCTATAGAAGCTACGCTTGTCTCGATATTGTAGCACAAAATAGCCGATGCCGAGCATGGGTTCTGAAACAGGGTTCTTAGGAACCCAGTTTGAGAAGTTTAAACACCAGAAACACCTAAAGATTGACATTGCGTGACCTTCCCACGCGTAAAAAGCAGCGCACGGCATCTTCTCGTTAATTGGACCACCCTCTCGATGCAGTGCACCCTGGCGGAAAGATGCCAAGCACCATCAAGACCAACATCAAGTCAGCGGGGGCCAGTCATCCCTACGGGAGGTGAACCCGGCAATAAAGCGGACGAGTCCAAACCGTGCACTTGGCGTCGCCACGGCCCGCTCTTCCCACTGCCACGTCCCTAGCCTGCTGCTGCACCTTTTTCTCCTGCTCTGCAATGCCACCTTTGTGTCACATTGGGGAATTTTACTTTGCGTCGCAGAACGCTCGGTCTTCACCAAAGTGTTACAGTGCTCGACGAAACGAAATAGACCTTCAGAGTATGGGGCCTTGAAACTGCACACGCTTCGCTCGAGGAGCGAGGTGCCGAGTTGGCGTGCATTGAACACAATGATAAACGAGAGCCAAAGGCACCGCAGAAGAAAACGGACAGGACATCCTCTTTCTTCCTTTCTTTTGTATATTTAGTCGCGAGTCGGCGCTCGTCCCATCTGTTTTCTTCTGCAGTGTCTCTTGTGCACTGTTCATCGCCGTGTTCACAAGAGGAGCGTATACATTTATACCAATGTTGAAAACGGTAATTGCCCTCGATGGTTAAGGTCTCGCGCGGCGATCGTGGGTTTAAACGGGAAATGTTTCCGGGCCATTGGTTTTTGACCAGACCTGGCAGGTCCCAAAACGTTTCCCGTTTGAACCCACAATCGCCACGCGAGACCTTAACTGTCGAGGGCAAGTACTGTTTCTAATATTATAACTCGCGAGAGCTTGTTTTTTTCTCCCAAGTCACTTGTGTTATATAGCATATGCAGCTAGCATGAACAGTTACTCTAACCATTGCCAGAGTTACTGTACAGCTATAGAGGTTCATTTCGTTTGGTTTAACACTGTACAGCTATAGTGGTTGAAACCAGATGCCAAAGTTTATGAACATACTGTTATCTGATTAAAAATTGCTGTATCTTTTGAATCGGATAACAACGGTTCTGAAACTTTGGCATCTGGTCCAAACTGCTAGCACTTTATTTGGGTGGAGACGGAGTGTTCGGCAATGCATAGCTTATATCTGCGGATAAAAAAACATTTTCATCTCCGAAATCTGCGGTATTTCATACTTTCTACTGGATTGCACTTAAAAAAAAAAAAAAAAAAAAGAAATGAAAAGTAGCATAGCGGGCATTGATCATGATGTAGAAAACCCGAGACTGTGGTAAAAGCAGAGAAACATGGTCGAAGAAGAAAGACGGGACATTGAGACATACTTTTCCCCTGTCTCTCTTTTTCGACCAAGTTTCTCTGCTTTTACCACAGTCTCAGGTTTTCTACATCATGATCAATATCCACCAGCTCGCCTGTGCACTCACTATTTTTTCATGGCGGGCATTTAACTTCTATGGTAAGGCGAGTGCCCATGCAAGCAGATATGCCCACAGAACTGGCACACACACACTGGATACTTTATTTCACGAAATACCGAATTCACTCAGTTATAGGCATTGCAAGATTCTAGGTAACTTGTCACTCTAACATGGTAAGATCTGAAAGATACTGGAAGGCAGTAGTTTGCAGGCAACTGTAAGTGTGCTTCAATTAGTGCGTCCCGCAATTTCCTTGGGTGCCTCATTTCAGGAAGCATGGTGCTTGCATGTTGACTAGTGCATCAGATATGGTACTAAATTGTTTGTTGGCTTTTTTGGCTCATTCTATACTAGTCAGTGGAGCCGTGTGTGTAGGTAACAGTTTGATCATCCACAGACTTTGTGGCCCCATCCGATTTGCATCCGCAAAATTTGGAATTGCGTCCAATTCTCAATTCGCAAATTCATTTTACGTTATAAAATCAAGCATAATTAAACATTAAATAAATTAAAAAAAACATCTGGATGGTATCCTATAAGCCATCTGCTTACCTTTTTACAAAGAAATCTTTGTGTAAGAATACGGTGAAAGTCATTTTATTGTATTTATAAAATAGGCGATCATCCTTCCAGACATTTCACATTGCTCGAAAGATGATCGCAGTTATTAGATTGTCTTGGGGAGTCCAGGACACTGACCCTCTGTCCAGTATATGTGCTCAAAAAGAAGAAAATTTATATTTATTTTTTTTTCTTTGTAAAACCCACTCCAAGCAAACGCATGTTTTATAAATGTGAAAATTGTCAAAGGAGAGAATAATAGCATTGCATCAATTATATACGCCAAACAATAAAAAAAAAAAGCGGGAGAGCAAAATACTCTTGTATATGTGGTAAGGTGCTAGTACACCACTGGGAAAATATCACACTATTCAATAATGCCAACACCTCCTATCTGTTTCAGTTTTAAACACGGACCCTCAATTGCATGCTCGGAACCATATAGCACTTAAAAACAACTCGGTGCCAACTGTCGAGAAAAAGAAATTGCATGTGCACGCTACGTGTCACTCGTGGAGGTTGCGGTGTTGAAGAAACAGAATATTGTCAACTTGGACGGATTCAGACTGGTTCACCTCTCAAATGAATACCCGCTAATGAGAAGTCTCTTTTTGTTGGTGCACTTGATGCTGGGATGGCATGCACGAACTGCGCTACAAGACAGGTCTGGAAACCCATGCTGGCGCAAGTCCCACCACTCCAAGGACCGAAATCAGTCTCCTCCATATATACTTGTAGGCGAAGAAGCCGCTCGCAGGTTTTCTTTTGTCCAAAGAATGTTTTTCGCTCTTTCCCTGCCAAACAAGAACACACTTCTCAGGACAACTGATAGTTCTGTGTTCTTTACTTTTTCTAGGGACGGTATTTTTGGCGAGATAGAACGTTCCAAAGCGAACTTCGGCGAGAATCAAATCTTTTTCAACATAAAGAACTATTTTCTCCCCAATTGGCACCTTTTATGTAAGAGAGTAGTTTGCCCCTGCAATACATTTTGATGATGCACTTCACAGTATTACTCGCTTATTCACTCTACACCTTGTGGTCGCACACATTTATATACTGCCTCGGCAAAAACGATACCTGCGGATATCCGCGTCCGATCCGCAGTCCCTGGCAACTGCATCCGATCCGCAATCTTCCAAATCTCATTAATTTTTATCCGAATCCGCCGGTTTATTGCGGGTATCCGCGGATTTGCCGGGCTCATTGAGTCGGTGTGCTCATACATGTTTAAGAGGATGAAAAAAAACAAAAAACTGATCAACATGGTTTATGAAAGATGATCGTTGTTGTGGTACTATTGTCAGGGGGGAACATTAAATGTATTTAGGAGACACCAGCTGAACAAACCAAGCATACAAATGTAAGGAGGACGAGAGAGACGCTGGTGTCTCCTAAATATGTGTAACCAACGTGCTCAACTCTTTCCCGTGGAACATTAAATGATTTCCCCAAAGCGTGGTCAAAACAGCAAAGTAGAATTTTGTTGTGGACAAACGGTGAGAGTCGACATACACTGGAAGAAAACGGATTCAACAGCTTTGTGCAGCCCGATGTGTTGTTTTATGTCTCCTATGATGCTGCATAAAGCTTTGTCCACTCGCACCATGAGTGAGGAGTTTGGAAAAGGTGGCAACCAACCAATTTGAGCACCGAGGGGCCATAAGCTAGAGAAGGGGCAAAACGGGAAAAACAAAATTCTGCAGGAGCTAATAACACTTGAAACTTCGTCACATTGCATGAAGGAAATCATCCAAGACTCCTGCCATTCTCGTCCTGGGTGGCACCTCAGGACTGAGTCACTGAGTCTTAGCTAAAGCAGCACCAAGCTCTTTGCATGGAGGCCATTTTGGTCCATAAAATGAGCAGTTTCCCTTTTACCTCTCCATTTTTTAGAGAGCTAATACAAATTTATGGTGACGGGTTGCTTTATAAGGCCATTTCTTGAATACCGAGATTTTGGTATCCACAGATCGGCAAAACAAGCGCACATTCTCACACTGCCAGTAAATGTGGCTTTGGGGCTTGTCGGCATTAAAAAAAGGTTTTCCGGTCTTGAAATATGCAAGAACATTATCATTGTAAGAGATCTGTGGAGATAAGCTTCTTTGATAAGCTGATTCCATACACAGTGCCAAAGATGCTTATATTGGCAAGGAACACTTTCAGGACGATGACGCTCCATAGCAATCTTGCAATCTTGGCGCGGCTGGTTGAGAATGACCTTTTTGAAGATTGGAAAGGACCAAAATGGCGATTGCCATGGCAACAGATACCGACCAGCCAGTCACCTTGCGAGGTTTTGATTTTATGTTAGGATATGTTTGTGTCCTCCTAACAGGCAGGGAAGGCCAATGGCACCATCATTTCTTTACCCAAACTTGCTGGAAGCTTTTGCACTTTAGCTTGTGGTAACTCCTCCTGGCACCACATCTCTGCAACCTTTATGTTTGCCACCACCTCTTTTCACTTTTTCCTGTGCCACCACCACTGCCACCTTTCCGCAGTGCTCGATGGAGCAGCATTGCCTTAGTCATAGCATTCTGCAGCGCAATTCATTTTTGAATGTGCCACCTACTGGTTTGGCCACAAATACTGTAAACGACTTCATTTTTGCGGGCTCAATATTTTGCAAATATTTTGCAGCAGCAAAATTTTGTGGTTGGGAGCACTATGCTACGTATTCATTATTGTGGGGTGATGTATTTGTGCGATCGAATCTTTTAATTCTTCTAAAATTGCAAAGTTTGTTAATTAATTTGTTTACAGTATGCAACCGATTATTTGCCTGCCCAGTTGTCAGACTAACGAGTTGAAAATAACAATGCCGTACATGCAGCCTTCTCAGAGTAAGTGCCCACCCCCCGTACCTTTGAAACATTTTAGATATTAGCAAAGGACACATCAAGCCCCCACCCCAGCAAACTTTTGAGCCCACCGAGCTGTACCTCCGTGTTGCCTGGTTCTCAAAGAAACTGGTGCGAAGTAGAGAGGCTTTATGCACGTGCGCTGGAGGAGAGCAGCGAAGCTTGACACGAGAGTGCCAGTTCGAAGCAGGCTCGATGGGAGCGGCTGCTTTGAAATTGGGGGATCTGCCAGACCTCCGTCGTCCCGTCAGATCGAGCGACCACCTACACTACTACGTGCCCTTTTCGCTTTTAGGCCTAATAAGTGCCCATCCTCCTTTTTGTGATATTCCGCGGTAGTTCTTTTTAGAGGTGTGCGAAAAGTGGCTCCGTTCGAATGGCACCCTGCAATTCCTCGCTTCTACGGCGCAGAATATCCTAGCCTGCCTTTCTGCCCCGCACTTCCTCGATTTCAACCGTGCCACTGTTTGCACACTCCTAAATCTTGTATTTTTTTTTTAATTTGCAGCGATCTAATGAAAGCCATTTTGCACACATGACGGTGCACAATACGCCTAAAATTTTGTAGTTCGAGAACCTCAAACAAACTGGCAACAGCTGGCTAGATAATACGACCAGTAGTGAGTGCAGGCTAGACTCCGTCTTAGCTCGCAAAAGAATGCAGTGGAAGCTACGAGCCATCCAAGCAAGTCCGATGCTCCAAATGCACCCCTCCCTCAGGTCGTGCGACACTTGCGCGTCAATAAATGCGGAGCACAAGTTCGTCCGCTCCTTTTGCAGGGGTTGTGGTGACGTGAGAACGCCGAGCTCCAATTGAAGGAGAGTGGGTAGACCTCAAGGCAGCTTGCTTTGAAGTCTACCCACCATCCTTCAATCAGAGCCAGTCGGAGCTCGGCATTCTGACGTCACCACAACCCCTGCAAAAAAAGCAGACGAACTTGCGCTCCGCATTAACGGCTCGTGGCGTCTGCTGCAGTTCGTTGTAATATGAAACGGAGTATGGTAGAACACGACGTGCTGCACTTTGGGACGTGCATGCTCTTGGGCTTTAAGGTCTGCGAGGAGGAACTAATGCTGATCTGTCTGATCTCTCTTCAAGGTGGTGACACTAGTGGGCCAGCCAAAGCAACGTACGCTACATGCATAAGGCATTTAGCCTGGACGCACCCTTTCTAATCGATCGTCCTTTGCATCTGTAGTACGCCGCGTGTTGCGGCAAAATAAATCTCGACTGTCTCTGGAGTCTCATGATTTTTACGGACGAGTAATGTCTGCAAGGAGCTTGCAGCGCAGACAGAAAACAGTTTTATACCGGTGCAGCCCAATGCACCGAGGTTTACATTAGCTCTGCTCGATTTGCCAAGGCTGGCTGAACTAGTTCACAGTTTGAAAACTGGCATATTTGAATCCATGGGAAGTAAAATCTGGCCCGCCTTTTCACCGTACTTCTGTGAACTAGTTCAGAACGTTTTGTCAAATCGTACGAATGTAGGAATTGTGCTCCCTTGTAACGATTCCGAATGGGTCACCAGCAATTTTTTACACTTCCATACAAGTGATGGAGTGAAGTGGATACGAGACAACCGTATTTACACGCTGAGAATGTTTGAACCATGGCCCCAAGATCAGCGTCGTCCAATACTGCAAATTTATTTTACTTTAGACGCGCACATTCGCTGTATTTGGTATGTAAATAAGCAACATTCAGTACAATGACTGTGACATCACATCTTGCATGGTGTACTTTAGTAAAAATTGTTTGCAATGCACCAAAAAAACAAAAAGAAAACGCGTACGCATACTCCATCCTGTCGACATCAGAAAGGGTGCTGTAAATGGGCTAACATATGCTCTGACCTGCGACAACTACATAAAAAAGAAAATTAAAGTTGAGGTGTCGTTTGCTCGCCGCTGTGGAATAAGGGGTATTCACTTTTGTCACATGCCGTTGCTTGCACAGATGACACGTTGATAGCGAGCATTCCTCCAAGGATAACTGCGAAATGCGTGGTTCACGGAGGCTCGTCTCGCCGCTCTAATGTGGAACAAAATGGCGGATTGACGTCACGTGAATACCCCTTGGCTTGAATGGCTGTGCATCAGCGGCCATTGTGGTAACTGATGCTGAGCGCGTACCTTGCAGAGCATACATTTCGCACACACGAATCATCTCGGCAGAAACAAGTAGGATGACCCCCAGCGTCGCGCGATGAACAAGTCGCGTTTTCACAATTCGACGTCATCGCGTACAGCAGGATCACCCCTGAGCCAATGTTCAGAGTTCAGATTTCTTGGGCGAGTCTGGCTTCGACGACTCGTCACTGGGCGGTGGCAGGACCTCGTCCAAGCAGCCGTCGTCGCCTTTCCGGAGCGCCCTGCCCCGACACAAGTAGTCGCTCAGCGCTCTGTCCTGCTTCCCAAAGTACCAGGCTTCGATGTCGGCCTCGTGCTCCTCCAAGAGCGCCTCGCACTGGGTCTTGAGGTTGGTCACTTCCGCCGACGGCGTGTCCCACAGCTCGTGCGGGATCCCCAGGTCCACCTTGACGCCCTTGGCCACCAGGTTGTTGAGGGCCTTGAAGGTGTTGCTGGTGCCCTTCGCGAAGCGCGTGCTGTCCTTACGCTCCTTGTGCACGTTGTACTGGAGCAGGCGGTCGCAGACTCCGTCCAGCGTCTCGACGAGGCGGAGCTCGGACACGGCGTACTTTTTCCTCTTCTTAGGCTTGCCGAACTCGTAGCCGGTCTCGATCACGTCATGAGTCCTGCCGGTCTCTCCCAGACTCGCCTCCAGCTCGACGGCGAGGTACTTGCACACCTCGCACTTGGACGCGTACTTCACGCCGTACTGGGATTCCTCGAAGCTCTCCTCGGCGGCCCGGAGGTGGCCGAAGAGGAGCAGGGTGGAACAAAGTAAGAGTCCGAAGACTGCCATCGGAATACGGCGGACCACGACCGTTTGTGAGTTTCCCCGGCTGTCAGAAACACGTCGACTTTCTGCGCGTTATCGTCGCGGCAAAAAAGATAAGCCGGTCTTCCATCGAGCGAACGTGGGAGCAGTGCGGAGACAGCGCTGACGGAGAGCGACTCCGGACTCCGGAAGACGGAAGCTCTCGACGGAAGCAACGGAAGCGCTAAAACGAAAGCGCCTGTGGCGCCTAACGTTGGTGGCGCCTGCGCGTTCGGCGTTTTGGCGCCCTAGTTTGCCTAGTTCATATAATCAAAAAGTTGTTTCCGTTTTTATAATGTTTACTTAATAAAAACTTTACAGATACATTGTTTTTATTTAGTTTTATGAAATAATTTTTTCTCACACCGCGACAGAATATTTGCGTCGCCAGAGAGCGCAACCTACGACCCAACTCAAACAATACTCACATTTTTTTTTTTTTCTCAGCGAATGCGGTGATTGGACGACCATCTTGAATGTGGCGAAATCGCGTTCTTGCGAGCGTTGCTGAGGCTGGCGGCAGCAGGGGGGTAAAGGTGGGTGAGGAGGAGTGGCAAATCCCGTGCGCCGACATCCTGGGTCCCGAGCAAGGAGGTTAGAAGTACTAGGAGGGGGCACGTTGCAATATTGGTGAAGCCTAGTCATAAAAAGTTTAAACGATTTTGTGCCCAGCGTGACCGCAGATCTGTCTGGCGATTGGTGCGCGTGACAAGTCACGTGTGAGATGGACGGTTGAGTGTAGAAGGACTCCTTGCAGGCTTGCGCGCGCTCCGTCCGGTACGTTTTATCAGATCGAAGGCTAGACTGTGCTGTATTCTAGTAGCCTACAGTAAGACGAAGGCTAGCTACGGTCACGTGATGTGGTCACGTTGGCATGGTGAGTGAGGAGAGTAAGGAGGAAAATGAGAAAGAGGCGAGGCGTCAAGGGAGCATGGCTTGTGGAGGCTACGCGGCTGACGTCATGCCCTCTCCTACCCTTCTATTCTCCATGGTCCCGAGTGAACGATCGCGAAAGAGAGCGACAGAACACGAGAGAAAGAAAGCAACGTTGCCATGGTAAACGCGGTAAACGCGAAGAGTGTAAACTCTCAGCAATATAAACAGTGATAATTTAACGTTGTAAACTAAATTCTGAGCTATTCTAACGCTTATACAAAGCAATAAAGTCATTACCCTGCATTAACTTCCCTTCTGTCGAAATCTCGGAAATCTGGTGGTTGCGCAGTTTCGTATTCCTCAACCGCGCCCAGCCGCGCCCCACCAGCGAAGCCGGGTATATGGTTTAGTTTAGCGTTAACGCGAGGCCGTACATCTGCGCGCTATGCAAAAAGAAACCTTCGAAAGGAACGCGAGTATTTTTCCACCGGTAAGTTCGTGGATTGTTGAAGTTCACGAAACTGCTCTGATGATGTAACCGTGTTTGGGACCCAGAGGGTCTGCCTGCATGGTCCGCCGCTTGCGGCAGCCAGAATGTATGGGAAAATGGCGGACCTTTTCCTCTAGATTTAGTATATGATCCCTATGGGCGGCAGCGTGCTGAGCACACATTTTCTATGCGGTCGTCGTGATACGCCGAGAAAGTTTCTTAAACCCTTCTAAAAACGGCGAGATTTGCCTTTCAAAAAATGTGGAATTTTTTTTTTTTTTTGAAAGCGCATAAAGGCACAACTCGCCGAAAGCAAGTTTTGCCGGTCCCGTGGAGTGATCAAAATTTTTGATGATAGTGCAATTCATGCAAAGGCGCAAGCGAGCTGGACAAGAATGGCAAAAATAATCCATGGAGAAGGGGGACAGAGGACAAGCGTAAATCTCCAATTTGCAGATTTGCGTTTGTCCTCTCTCTCCCCTTTTCCCCTTCTCCGGAGATTATTTTCGTCATCAAAACTTCATTGGCACGCCGAAGTGCTGCATCTCTGTGCCTTCGCACGCTTGAATACCGATCAAAAATCGACGCCGAGGCAAAATTGTGAAGGTGTGTCGCGTGTAGACGTGTTTGCATCATAGGGTGTCTGAGGCCACCAGGCTCGATCTAAAATGAACCGTAAAAATCGACGCCTGCACGAAGCAATTTAAACTTTTCGCCAAAGGTGCATTTCACAGGTCCGTTTTTTTCTTGTAAAATTACAAAGCGTAGCTCCCTTTTTGTAAAAAAATAGGGCCAAAAAACTTGCCAGGGTCAACGGCGGGCAGTGACACAGACGACTGAGTCGAGCGGCGGGGCGCGTTTGGCGCACGTGTGACGAAAAGTTCAGATTGCTTTATGCAGGCGTCGATTTTTACGGTCCCTTTTAGATCGAGCCTGGTGACTTCAGACACCTTGCATACCGGCCACGGAGTTCTGGATCGTTTAGCTGTTTCGGCGAGTTGCTATAAATAAAGGGGGAAAGAATCTGTACGGTTGTTCTTATGCACTATTAACCATGACTATATTCAAAATCTACTCTAATGGATCACATGGCAGCACAGATAGAACAACGCTGTGACGTAAGGAAGGTATGTGATGGTAAAAGTGCAAGACGGCGAGATTGAAAATCTTCGAAACATGGCTCATATGGTCGTGTGCAATCTGCTTACCAATCACAATTCGTTAAGTGTTATTATATATATCAATATATATATGCAGGGTGTTTTTTTTTGTTTAAAATTTGATTTGTTTAAAAAAAAGCCGGGAAAGTTACACTTATGCGGATTGTGCAGGTGAGTTGTACGGCCAGGAGGACAGAGTATAGGAAGCTAATCGTAACGATCAGTCGCCTAATTAATTAAAATACGTCAATTAATGTTTTAATGATAAAAATAGACATATGGTTCACTGGCTTAGCGTCATTGAAGACCACTAAATCAACTCTTTTTAGAATGATATAACGCAGGGGTAGTATATTACGGCGTTCCGTAAAAACGCTCAATTTGAACGCGTTTCTAGGTTTCGCTTTCTTATCGGAGCGCATCATGGCGCCCGCGGTCCTGCCCCCAAGTGGTCGCGGCGCGAAGCCACCCCGTCGCCTCCCTCGTAGCATGGAAGGAGGTTGGGCGCACGTGTTTTGCGCGTTTCGACCACTGCGGAGCAGGACTAGCAGGACCACGGGCGTAATGATGCGCTCCGATAAGAAATTGGGCGCGTTAAGTCCGTCCTCTGGAGCCCGAGAGTTTCGCGCTCCTTTGACTAAACGGACAGGAGTGCCACCGGAGACTGACACTCGAGCGCGCTCTTTGTGCACCGAAGACAAGGAGGATAGAAGGGTAAGAGAGGGCATGACGTCAGCCACGTAGCCTCCACAAGCCATGCTCCCTTGACGCCTCGCCTCTTTCTCATTTTCCTCCTTACTCTCCTCACTTATCAGGCCAACGTGACCATATCACGTAACCATAGCTAACCTTCGTCTAGCCTTGATTTGATAAAACCTACCAGACGGAGCGCGCGCAAGCCTGCAAGGAATCCTTCTACAATCAACCATCCATCTCACAGGTGACATGTCACGCGCACCAATTGCCAGAGAGATCTACGGCCACGTTGGCCACAACATCGTTTAAACGTTTTATGACTATAGCTTCACCAATATAGGTAGAATCCACTGGACGCCATATTTGTGGGTGCTGTTTAGAGCGCATGCTCAGAACGAGCTCACATCAATAGGCTGCTAAGACCGGCAATCTTGGTGGTGCGGAATGCACGTGGCGAAAGAACTGTGGAAGCTCGTCATCAGCACGCGCTCAGCATTCGCGCACACAGCTATGGCCGCCAGTGAATTGCAACGTGCCCCCTCCTAGTACTTATAACAAGGGGGTTAGAAGTACTAGGAGGGGGCACGTTGCAATATTGGTGAAGCCTAGTCGTAAAAAGTTTAAACGATATTGTGCCCAACGTGACCGCAGATCTCTCTGGCGATTGGTGCGCGTGACATGTCACGTGTGAGATGGATGGTTGATTGTATGCAGGGTTGGGCAGAAATACTCAAAAATGTATTTGGAAATACAAATATTGGGATACATTGAAATAGTAGCTAAAATACTGATACTAAGATACATCTGTAAAAATGTATCGCGATACGTATCGGAAATACATTTTAAAAAGAGTCATAAAGTATTTGGAAATACAAATACAGGAATACATTTTAGGGAAGGCAGAAATACAAATACAGAAATACTGATACTGCAATACATTTTCCAAATTTTTTGAGACGCCAACTGAGATGAAGCTTGAAGTTTGAAGTGGGTGTTTTCGATCCCGAAATTACTTTCCTGCAGGCTTGGTACTTTGCCTTGAAGGTAGTGGTTTCGGACGGCAAGGAGTCTTCAATGCACCCAAAAAAACGTTCCAACAATTGCTGACCGCGGTCCCTTCCATGACATCCTGTCTGTCTGACGAGGGAATCCTGTCAACATTGATCACATTATGTCACGGTGTAGTGAATTAGAATTCTTTATCTTTAGGTGTGGCCTTGAACATGAAACTTTACCATTCTGCTGTATGAAAGGACAATACGTACTTTCGTTGTAGGCTACCTAGCTGAAGATCGTGCATGCAGTGTCATTTGGAATTTTCGAGAATAGTGGACCACCTGAAGCATCTTGAAATACATGTCTTATCTTCTGTTTTACAGTTGAAAAAACGATACGGTAGCATCCCTGTTCTGAAGGTCCTTACTACCGACCCTCCACCACCGACGCACGGATTGCAGTCCTCAAGTTTTGCCTAGCATTATCCAAACAGAGACCTCGTGGATTGCGAGCTGATATTGCCGGCACAGGTGCGAGCTATCCGAGAAACAGCGGTCTCGAGACTAGTCGCGGGAGCACGTAGTCTGGGATGGCACAGCGAGGCCACTTCTGGCCTCCTTCTAGGTTTTAGATCACCAGAGCAGCGGGTCACGTTCACGTCGGCTGATGACGTACCCTTGAGGCGTGCAATGTTACGGGCGCAGCCGCAGATGCATTCGAATATGTGTTGAACTTCACAGCGTGAGTCTTTCTACTATCTCAAGTCAACCACCGCCTGGCTCGTGCTGCAACGGAATGTGCCTCTGTACGCTAAGGCGAGAGAGACGGTTAGCAGCGGGCATTGGATGCCAGGAAACAATGACTCAAGAAGTCCCTACCTAAGGACCTGCGGCAGAAGATGCTCTGACTCCACTCCTAGCACGCCACTTGGTTCGAGTCCCCGACTACGCAACACTTCTCAGAAGAGGGAAGAGGACGTATAGAAAAATAGTTTGCAGAATCAAAAGGAACCTTGGTCAGCATAGCAACAATACCCCAGTATCTTCTTGACTCTAATGCCCTTAGAAGTAAAAAAAACAAAAATGCGTTCGGACTTTTTT